ACCTTGAAGCAGCCCCTTCTAGAACCCTTGCAGTGAAACCCGGCCCTAAGCCCTCAACCCTAAACCCTAGGCCCTAAACCCTAAGCCTTCAACCCGACACCCCAAACTCGAAGCCCTCAAGAGGAGAAGGCCCCAGCTCCTGAACACATTCCGCTTTAAGGGTACTACGGTTGATGATATCAATCCTGCATTACCCATAATAAGGACTATACCGTAATTCCCGTAGTTTAGCGTCCTTAAGGTAATGCAGGATTTATATCTTCAACCGTGTGGGGTTGTATGATACATTTCTACCGTCTAATCCCTGGACCCTAAACCCTAATTAATGCCCTAAAATCCTAAACCCTAAACCCTTCTGAGGGTTCCATAACACACATTTCCCTTCAAGGCCACTATGGGGTCCTATGGGGTTCCTTTCTAAACCCTAAACCCTAAAACCCTAAAACCCTAAAACCCTAAACCCTGTACCCTGAACCCTAAACCCTAAAACCCTAAATCCCTAAACCCTGTACCCTAAACCCTAAACCCTAAACCCTCTTCTCCTTAAAGCCACTCCTTTAAAGCCACTACTATCATTAACATTATTTAATATACTATTTACATATACACTAACATTATTTATTGCATAATAGCATTCTCGATCTGCATTACAGAAAAAACCCTAAACCCTAAACCCTGAACCCCAAACCCTAAACCCTAAACCCTCTTCCCCTTAAAGCCACTCCTTTAAAGCCACTGACAGAAAAAGGCGCCTCCCCGACCCTGGTGGAGAGGAGAGCACCCCTTCGGGATCGGACACCCGAAACGATAGGATTCAGAGCTTTAGGTTCCTGGGTTTAGGGGTTTAGGGTTTAGGGTTTAGGGGTTTAGGGTTTAGGGTTTAGGGTTGTTGTAATCTCCAAAAAGTTGGAAACCGGATTAAGGACAATTGGTGCTGGGATTCCTTATACATTACTCTTAAGGATTGAGGCTATGGAGTTTCCAACTTTTGGGCTTCTACTGTAGAGCTTTAGGTTCCTATCCAGAAGGGTACAAGGAGGGATCCAGAGGGTTTAGGGTTTAGGGTTTAGGGGTTTAAAGGAACTTCAGAGTTCCTTTACAGGGATTTCTAGGGCTTAGGGTTCGGAATATGGGGTTTAGGGGTTTAGGGCTTAGGGGTTTGAGAGTTTAGGGTTTGGGGGTTTAGGGTTTGAGAGTTTAGGGTTTGGGGGTTTAGGGCTTTAGGGGTTTAGGGGATTTGGGTCTAGGGGTTTAGAGGTTTGGGGTTCAAGGGTTTATGGGGTTTGGGGTTTAGGGTTTTGGTGGGTTCAGGTAACCAGAGTTTAGGCGTTGCGGGTTTAGGGCTTGCAGGTTTAGGGCTTAGGGGTTTAGGGTTTTGGGGTTCAGGATTTAGGGTTTAGGGTTCGGGGTTTAGGGGGTTAGGGATTTAGGGTTTAGGGGGGTTCAGGGTTGAGAATCTGTACCAGAACCCTAAACCCCAGACCCTAAAACAGCCCGTGGGGTGCTAGGGCAGCGTTCGGGTTTCTCATGCTGCAACTTTTCCTAGGATACCCAGTAACCTAAGAATAAAAAGGCCTCTCTTTTTGGTAGTGGGTAACTTTATAAGGAACCTAGGACTACAAAAAGGGAATAAGGGTACTACTGGGCATCCTAGTCATGCTGCAACTTTTCAGTGAACCGCCATCATGATTCAGCTTTTGATCTGCTGGTCGCGCTGCTGGCTCACACACACACACACACTGAACGGCAAGCAGTGGAGGGGGTTGCTCCTGAGTTTACCAAAAGTCCCTGCAGTGTCTTGCAGTTTTAGGCCTTTTTGATGAGGGGTTTTTTGGGGCATAGAAGCCCAACCTGCATCTCGCAAGGCGTATAGGGTTTACGGTTTTTTAACATTTCCAAACTGGAACCGCAAGTCCTGATACGTCAGACTGTTCCGGTACAGTTTATGGTTCAAGTGATGCATGGCTTGCACGTTCATCAGCCACAAACGTCTTACATTTTTGAGCACCAGAAGCAAGGCTTAAGCACAGATGATGCCCGGGTTGAGTGGTTTGGATTTGGGGTAGGCCTATCGGGCCTATCGTGGCTGATCTACAGCAAAACATCCTCTAACGCCTACAAGGTTTCAGATGTTCGAGCAACCCCCAGGTACAGGGTGTTTTTACCCGTCGTGGGGGCGTGCCGTGGTCATGACACGTGCTGCCCAAAAGAAGGAAGGATCACACTTGGAGGGTCGGGGGACTTAGTAAGTAGGTAGTAAGTAGACTTATAAGTACCCTAAAAGGGACCCTAATTGGGGTTATGGTACTTATAAGTCCCGAAAATAACCAGTTACTAAGTCCCCCTAAACCCTAAACCCTAAACCCTCATAGAATCCCTACAGATCCCTTTAAAGGACCCCTTTAAAGGAACCCCTTATGGTTACTAAGTCCCCCGACCCTCCAAGCACAGAGGGTGCCTGTGGAGGCGACCAGATTCGGAGCATGCGATCTGGGGTTCAGGTCTGCATTAAGAGCCGCGACTACGGTTCAGGAATATACCATAGAAGGGGCCCCCACCCTGTAATAGTGGTACAATAGGAATATAATAGGGCCCTAATATAATCCTTATAGTCACTATTACAGGGTGGGGGCAGCTTCTAAAATATACCATAACTCCCATAGTTTAGGGTCCGTAAGGTCATGCTGGATTTATATCAACAACAGTAGTTCATGGTTGGGGCAGGGTTTAAAATGTACATTGGTGTTCCTTGTTGGGTTTAAGTACAGTACCCATAAAAATGTCAAATGTTACCCAAGTATGACAAAGGCTACACTGCAACTTGCAACGACGGTGAGAGTGACAACACGTAGTTGAATAGGGCCTCGGTCCCGAACCCTTAACCCTAAACCTCAAAAACTACCCTAAACCCTAAACCAAAACCCCCAAAAAACCCTAAACCAGAAAACCCTGGCCCTAAACCCTGAACCCTAAACCAAAAACCCCTAAACCCTAAACCCTGAACCCTAAACCCTGACTTCCCAAACCCTACTTGGAGGATCAGGGGACTTAGTAAGTAAGGATATAAGTTCCCTAATTGGGGTTATAAGTATAGTTACACTAATTCTAACCCTAGTTACTAAGCCCCATGATCCTTTAAGTAGACCCTAAAGCCCCTCTCATAATAGATCCCCTAATAGATCTCCTTTAAAGGAGCCCTTCAAAGTATAACCCTACTTACTAAGTCCCATGGTCCTTTACTAGGATACTCAGTAACCTAAGAATAAAAAGGCCTCTCTTTTTGGTAGTAACTTTACAAGGAACCTAGGACTACAAAAAGGGAATAAGGGTACTACTGGGCATCCTAGTTTAAGTACACCCTGGCTCTGCGAGATTCCATGCATCCTCGGCCCGAGATCCATGAGAGATCCCCTAGGGTTTAGGGTTTAGGGGTTTAGGGTTTAGGGGTTTGGGGTTTCCCATGAATTAGGCTTTAGGGTTTAAGGTTCAGGGGTTTCTCCCGTTGAGACCCTTAACCCCTAAACGCTCACCCGAAGCAGGGGAAGAAATCTGCAGGAGCTCCAGCAGCTGTTTTGGGGGGTCTTGTAGGATCTTATGGTTTAGGGTTTAGGGCATCTGCTGGGGGTTGACAGGGTTCTGTGGGCTTTTTCGGCTTGTCATGGTGGTCTACCTAAACTGCCCAAACCCCAAACCCTAAACCCTTAACCCTAAACCCGAATTGTGTGTTCAGGGCATGTGCTTTTTCCTTGCTTCTTACCTGAATATTGAGAGTCTGAGCTCTGAGATGTTGCGGGCTACTTGAAACGCCGTAAGTACGATGAGTTTTGCGTGTTTAGTAAGGGTCTTCTATGTGCTCAGGATTTGAAATCCGATATGGACTCCTACATAATCAGACTGAGCTATTGCGGGATCGCCTACTTCCAGCCAAACCAGGAACTAGGAACCGTAGGGAACATTTCCTCGAAACATTCAGATTTAGGCGGCGGGCCTGAAAGTACATTGTACTCAAGATGCAAGGACTCTCAGAACTAGGTTCGCCCTTCAAAACTGTAAAGCTTCCGACAAGTTTTGTGTAAGCAAGATCCTCTTAAGCCCACTCAGGGCAAATTAAAAAAAGGCATATACCATATGTCTACAGCCTTAAACCCTAAACCCCGAACCCTAGCCAGAGAAGAATGACTAGGATACCCAGTAACCTAAGAATAAAAAGGCCTCTCTTTTTGGTATGGAGTAACTTTATGGGAAACCTAGGACTACAAAAAGGGAATAAGGGTACTACTGGGCATCCTAGATGAAGGCTGCAAGGTGGGGGAGCTCCTGTCTTCCTAAATCGCCAGTCATCCCGTGGAAGCAGATGGGAGTTTCAGAAAAATAGGGGAACCGTGATAATAGTACCCTAAATAGTAGGATCCTTATCATAAGGACCCCCAACATCAGGTACCCCGAATTTTCCGAAACTCCCAGATGAGGTGTTCCAGCAGTCGAGGGTTTAGGCTTAGGGTGCAGGGTTTAGGCTTCAAGGGCTTAGGGTTCCAGAGTTCACAATTTCAACATCATGCCTGGCTGATGCAAGAGAAAGCCCGCGGCACGGATATGATGACTGGCGCGCAAGGAACATGCGAAAATCACCTAATATAGGGACCTTTAACGATTAGAATCGGGTTCTGGGGCCCATTATACTATATTGAGAAGAAGGAACCCCCCAAAATAGCATTGGTAATTCTTCAGGCCCCTAGACTAAATCCTTTTAATAGCCGCCATCGCAATCCTTTCAGACCCCTTTCGAAGGAACCCTCTTTTCAAACCCTCTAAAGGCCCCCATATTTAGGGACCCAAAGAAGCACATAAGCATAAGCATTTTATGGGGATATCCCTACCTTATTGGGTTTCATTCTAAGGGGGTTTATATGGGATATCCCTAACCGTATTTTTGCTTATGTGCTTTTTTGGGGCCCCAATATTACCTGCGAAGAGCTGGGTCCCCTCATTTTCTGCGGGGGTCAGTCCTCGTAAGTTTGCCACATGTGCTGCAGAATGATTTTCTCCAGCAAAGCAGACTGCTCGGGGTCCTGGACCTAGTTCATGGTTGGGATAGCATTCAAAAGTATAACTTCTGTTCCTTATTGGGTTTTAAGTACTCATAAAACTCACAAAAATGTTATCCAACCATGACGAAGGGACTGCTTTGAGAAGACTGGGCAAAGACAAGGGCGTAGGCACGGGCACGTCGAGCTCGCCATTTTCAGATGCTACTTCCGTGGCCTGCACGGCATGCGTGTGGCTTGCGACCATCTCCTTTATGATCGAACGAGAGAAACCAGGCGTCACCAGAATGTCCCAAGCTGTCTTCTGGTGGCTTGCCCAGGTAGAAGCACGGCGAAAGATCTTCTCGGACTGCGCGACCACTATCATGCGGAGGTTGACTCCGTCTTCTTGCGTGTTGAGCCAGTCCATGATAGGCTTTGCTTCCCGCCAGTCCGCGACGAGCACGATGCTTCCGCAGCGCCCTTCCAACCAGCTGACGAGGCTCATGCATTTCCTGCGTGTTTAGTTCAAAGGGCCCTCAGAACAACTTGTGCTAACTGGACTGCATCTGAGACTAAGACTTAGACTTACCCCACAATGCCACCGAGTTGCTTATGATACACGAACTTGCATCCGGACCCAGTAGCCACATCCTTCAACTCGTCATGCACCTGGCGATGCTCTGGCTTGCAGCAGTGCTCGAAGCACCATACGAGCCACATATCAGACTCCTGGTCACAAACGGCTTGCACGGCATTCATATCCCGCTCAGCCGAGCGAACCATCAGAACTCCGATGTCTGCTGTCTTCGACAGTGACTGGCAATCGTGCGGAGCCCTTGCTTGTTCTTGGAGCCGACATGCAGCAGCAATTTGCTTCTGTATACGATGTGTGGACATTTGACAAACTCGGAATATATCGGCATTGGCAATCATAGTAAAAGGAAATTCGAATGCTGCTGAGTATTCTGACCCCGATATATCGGCGTTCTAATGCCTGCAACCCAAAGCCGTGAACCATCGTGTAAGAGACGGCGTCGGACGTTCGCCATCGAAATGCAACCAACCCACGAAACTCACGAAACCTCACGTCGCCAAAACCCTACTTGGAGGATCATGGGACTTAGTAAGTAAGGTTATAAGTACCTTAATTGGGGTTATAAGTATAGTTACCCTAATTATAACCCTAGTTACTAAGTCCCATGATCCTTTAAGTAGGCCTTCGAACTTCCGGGTTGAGGGCTTTGGGTTTACTTAAAGGATCATGGGACTTAGTAACTAGGGTTATAATTAGGGTAACTATACTTATAACCCCAATTAAGGTACTTATAACCTTACTTACTAAGTCCCATGATCCTCCAAGTAATATGGGGGCCTCAATAATTGGAAGAGGATTCTGGGGTATGCTATACTACAACTCTCATAAGGAACCCTAGGAATAATATTGGTTAGCCCCACGGCCGCTCCATTACCTCAGCTGCTTCGCAGGAATAGAAGTCCAGTCGTACTACTTGGAGGTACTTTCTGAAACAGGGCTGCAAACTCCACAGCCCATCCATCACCTGAAGTGTAAACTCTTCAACCGTTGAGATGCAGAGTCTGAGCCCGACAAATACGCGAAAAGCGCCAGCTGGCAAGTTTCGTCTGAGACATCGTGGCGCTCATGTGTCGCGTGATGACTGCTGCTTCGGATCTTCTCGCAGCTTCGCAGCTTGTGGGCCCCGCCTCAACATAGTGGCCCTCAGCACAGACGTTCTTACAACCGCTAGATGTGCTAACGCCGAATGTCTCACACCCCAAGCCCGAAATCCTGAAACCTTGACCCAAACACCCCTAAACCCCTACAACATTGAACCCTCAAGACCCTTTTGTTAAAGAAAAATGCAAGCCCTAAGAACCTAGGAACCTCTGACAGCCCCTCAAAACCCTAAACCCTAAACCCCAAACCCTAACCTCAAAACCCTCAGAGCCCTCAAACCGCCTTCCCCTTGGTGGCGAGGGGTATCTCCGTGAGCTGAGGGCCTCAGAATGTTGGGGCTCCCCTTTGTGGAGTTTCGGGCCTTTCGGGTTTAGGGGGATAGGGCTTAAGGCTTGTAGGGTTTGGGGGAATAAAGTTTAGGAAGGCTTAGGTTTTAGGGCAAGGGTTTCGGGGAATATGGGTTAGGAAGGTTTAGGGTTTCTAGTTTCTGGGGTTTTAGGGTCTAGGAAGGTCTAGGGCTTAAAGGGCTTTTGGGGTTTATAGGGCCCCAAAAAAGCACATAAGCAAAATTAGGATAGGGATGTCCCATATAAACCCCCTTTAAAAGGAAGCCCATAAGGTAGGGATATCCCCACAAAATGCTTATGCTTCTGTGCCTTTTTGGGCCCCTAGTTTAGGGAATTATGTAGGGCTTAGGGCCTTTAGAAATGCAGGGTTCAGGCGAATAGGGTTTAGGGTTTAGGGTTGTGAAATGTTGTGAAAGTCTGGTTCTGCTAACACTGGGTTGTTGTGCAGAAGCCTACTTGGAGGGGCAGGGGACTTAGTAAGTCGTTTATAGGTAGGGTTATAATTGGGGCAACTCCATTTAGGGTACTTATAACTCTACTTATAACCTACTTACTAAGTCCCCTGCCCATGCAAGTAATAATCCGTTCAGAATCCGTTTTGGATGCATGGGGGAATGCGTTTGGTAATCCGTTTGGAATGCATGCGTGTTTGCAGGTCCGTTTTGGATGCGTTTTGAATGCGTCTTGGATGCGTTTTGGATCCGTTTTGGTCCCGGGGCTGGGGCCCCAAACGGATCCAAAACGCATCCAAAACGGATCCAAAACGGATTATAAACGGATCCCTCTCGAGGGCCGCGTTGTTTCGGCGAATCGCCGGGGGACCCGTCTGGGGGCCCGTTGCAAATCCTTTTTTTGGTCCCGGGGCTGGGGCCCCTCCAAAAGGGATCCAAAACGGATCCAAAATGCATCCAGAACGCATCCAAAACGGATCCAACACGGATCCAAAACGGATTTCAAACGGATCCCTCTCGAGGGATTCGTGGTTTCGGCGACCCGCCGAGGGACCCGTCTGGGGGCCCGTTGCAAATTCGTTTTGGGGTCCCCAAACGGATCCAAAACGGATTACAAACGGATCCCTCTCAGGGATTCGTGGTTTCGGCGACCCGCCAAGGGACCCGTTTGGGGGGACCCGCCTGCGGACCCGTCAGGGGGTCCGTCTCGGGGCCCGTTGCAAATCCGTTTTGGGTCCGTTTTGGATGCGTCGGCATCCGCCCCTCTCCCTGTCCCTCTCTCTCTCGCTCTCTCCCACTCCCTCTCTCCCTCTCCCTCTCTCCCTCTCCCGCATCCAACGGGATCCCAAACGCATCCCAAAACGGATCCAAAACGGATGCAAAACGGATCCCCAAACGGATCTCCAACGGATCTGAAACGCATATTTAGGAAATATAGCATTTCCAGAGTTAGCAGGCAACAGATGTTCACAAAAAGTTTAGGGTTTAGGGTGCAATGTTGTCATTCCTGCTTGAAGCACGAGGACTTGCGACGAGTGTTCTCATTGGTTCCGTGCTCGCTCTGGGCAGTGACTCCCAAACCCCAAACCCTGAGCCACCCTTAAGCTAAACACCAAATCCCCCAACCCTGAACCCAACAGAAAGGAACGCTGTGGCGCCTCTGTTTTTCCACCCACACACACACACACACACACCATGCGCACACACCACGCACACCCACACACGCCCACGCACCCGTACCCCGCACCTCGCACCCCGCACCCCGCACCCCGCGCCCCGCAGCGCGCATACCCCGCACCCCGCACCCCGCACCATCCCGCACCATCCGGCACCATCCCGCACCCCGCACCCCTCACCTCGCACCCCGCACCCCGCACCCCGCACCCCGCACCCCGCACCCCGCACCCCGCACCCCGCACCCCGCACCCGCACCCGCACCCGCACCCGCACCCGCACCCACACACACAGAGACGCAGATGCACACACACAGACATACGCACACAAACACAAACACAAACACAAACACACACACACACACACACACACACACACACGCATACGGTTTTGCGATGTTTTGTGGAGTGTCGCTTAATGTATCCGTTTTGGAACTTCTTCCAAACGAAAAGCGGTTTAACATGTACACGCCAACGGACGGTCATGTAATCTTGCAAAAACATGCTTCGCCCAACCTGTTTAAGCCGCGACGCCCTTCCGGAAATACTGCGCTTTGCTGGTTTACGGATTCTTATATGAGGACTCTTATTTTGGGATTACCCCACCTAATGTAGGAACCAAAACTCTAGAAGAGTAGGATTCATATAAGGAGCCCTAGTAAAGGCCTAAAGTTTCTTAATCAGGTTCCTACATTCCCTTCATCCCACTGTTGGAGCCCCTTGAGGTGTATCGCTTTAACATTCTTGGAGGGCCAAGCGCACGGTGGGGTTGCAAGCATCAGGGTAATTAATGCAGGAAGCTGCTTAAGAAACCTTGGGCCTTCATTCGGGTACCTACTATGAATCCTACCATTTTGGGCGTAAAAGCCCAAGGCTTCTTAATCAGTTTCTTACATTACCCTAAACCGTACTTCAAGGGGTTTGAGAGTTTGGATTTCAGTCTCAAGTGTTCCATGCGAGGCCTTCATAAGTAGTGTACCGTTTGGGGCTGTGCTACACTATAACAGCGCGGGGACCATCAGGATATATTATACAGCCAAAGTCGGTATGAAAAGAATGGAAAGCTGACGCCGATGGCGGCCCCGGGACAAACTTGTAATAAAGTCTGCGTACTCGCCCAGGTGGGGCTTTTAGAGCCTTTGAAAAATATTAGTAAATAAGATCCTCTTAAGCCCAATAAGGGAAAATATAAAATGTCCCAAAGCCCTACCTAGTCGCAGCTGGGGACGACCCCGAAAGTAGGGCTCGAGGCGGTCTTATGGTTGAGGGCTCGGGCATTTCTATGAAACCCATACACGAAAGGACCCCTTATAAGAAGCCGGACAAAAACCCTTTAAAAGGAAAACCCTCAACCCTAAAGCTTAGGCCCTAAACCCCTAAACCCTAAATCCTTCCTCTAAATGCCTGAGCCCCTATACCTCAAATCTAAGCTGCTACGGCACAATATCCATAGCTAAGCTGCTTTCTTAATTTACACGTGCATCTTTTAGAAGACTGCGCGTCGAAGTATTAAAGCAAGTCTCTGGGATCCCTAAACCCTAGCCCCTAAATCCCTAACCCTAAACCCTAAAGCCCTATACCCTAAACCCCAAACCCCCCTTACAGCTTAACACTAAATCATGGGATCCCTTACAGACCCCTTGAAAAGAACCCTAGTCTAACTACTAGGGCCTCAAATGGGTAGTTGTGAAAGTTATGGTTCCTTTTTGGGTACCCTAAATATTAGGTGCCGTATTATACTAAGGACCCAAAAAGGTATCATAATTTTGACAACCAACCAGATGATGGGATTGTTGGGTGCCCGGCAGCTGCCTTCAGCTCGAGGTTACATCGGAGGTCAAGGAGCTCCTGTTCGAGGCGCGGCTTTGTGGGGTTTTAAGGGTTCTTAGTGTTTTAAGGTTTTTTTGTGAGTTTTAGGGGTTTTTGGTGTTTAAGGGGTTTTGTGGATTTTAAGCGTTTTTCAAGTTTAGGGTTTAGGAGGGTTTAGGTTTTAGGGTTTAGGGTTCAGGGGTTTAAGGTCCAGGGTTAGGGCTTTGTAAGGGTTCCTTTAAAAGGGATTAGGATTAGGGCATTCTTTTCAAACGGGGTGACCTTTTTGCCTGCTGTCATTATCTCTCCCGTTTTGGGTTTGCACAGTCAGGGTTCCTCGCCTTTGAAATCTCCTGTATTCATACAGGATTGCAGTAGCATAGGGGCTAGGGTTTACAGTAAGCGTTTAGGGGTCAAGGGATTAAGGTTTCGGTTCTGGGGTTAAGGGTTGAGGGTATCGAAGTGGTCTGTACCGCTTCATCCGGCAGCACATCTGTTCCGACTGTGAAGAAATACAATGTCAGACCTCAATCTCTAAACCCTAAACCCGCCCAAACCCTAAACCCTAAACCCCCCCCGCCCCAAAAAAAACTGAATCCTAAAACCCTAAACCCTGAACGGACTTAGTGGGGCTTTCTTGGGCGCTGCTCTAAGTTCGAGCTTCCTTCAAAAGTAGTACACCCAATGCCAAGAACCCGATCTAAGGCCAGTGCTTGGACATAGGATTCGGAATCACTGAAGATGGGAATTTCCGAAAATTAGGGGTACCTGAACTGGGGGATCCTTGTCATAAGGATCCTATCATTTAGGGTGCTATATTGGGGTCCCCCTCTTTTCGGAATCGATGAATATGTCTCCACAGTAGCCTGGCAGGGTTTTATGATGCGAGGTTTCCTACAGTCTCCTTTTCTTACTTACCCAATAAGCCACAGAAATGAAAGGTTAAACTTTCCGATTCCTACTAAACTATAAGAGTCCAAAAAAGTTCAAAGGTTGGGTGTTGGGGGATCTTAACCTTTTCTAAACACATTATGACAAGGTTTAGGGTTTAGGGATTTGAAGGGCCCGACCCTGCTTTTCGAAGCTGCTGGAGCACCGGGCTGCTGTCACTGCCGAAGTCAGGGGCGCCCCAGGTCACCACCTAATGTAGGGGCCTTAAGAATTAGAGTCGGGTTTTGGCCTCCTTTACAATATAAACATAGATATATACGTATACATATTTCTTTCTTTGTAATAAGGATCCCTGATGAATAAGATTGGTAATTATTATTTAGGCTTCTCTAGGAGGCTCTTGGCAAAGAACCTGATTTACAAGGACCAGAATCAGGAGCTTTTTCTTCAAGAAATCCCTGAGTCAAGGAATCTGAATGCAGCTGATCGCCCTCAACCTCGTAAGAAGGGCCTGAACCCCAAACTTCTTAACGACGGCCCAGTGACCCTAAGCCCTTAAACAGTACTATAGGATTGTCGGTTCCATGATGACTATAGCGTTCTAGAATAGGAACCCTGAACCTTAAACTCTTAAACCCTAAACCCTTTGAAGGCCAGCAACATTTCCATCGGCGCAGAGTGCAGCGAAGGCCCCAGCCGAGGCGCAGAGTTGCTCCACCCCCGAAAGCTGCTCGGACACCGAGGTGGTGTCAGCACCGTAGCCTCAGCTGCTCTTAAAGGGAACTCCAGAAAGTTGGAATATGGTTTGAGGGTAGATACCTTATAATTTACCATAAAGGGTTTAGGATAATCATATTCCAACTTTCTGGCTTTTACTTTAGGTCTAGGGGGCTAAGAAGTTGAGGGCTCTGCAGAAACTTCAAACGAATTTCTTCTGACCCAAGTTTCTCAAAAGCCTTACTTGGAGGATCATGGGACTTAGTAGGTAAGGTTATAAGTACCTTAATTGGGGTTATAAGTATAGTTACCCTAATTATAACCCTAGTTACTAGGTCCCATGATCCTTTAAGTTTTTTTTCAAGAACCGTAAAAATATACCCCTAGAGCGGCCGAGTAGCAGGCATCCCCCCAGGCCACCACCTGACTAGTTCCCTGAATTAGAATTCTCTTTGCACCCTCATATCAGGAACCCTAACTGGGACCCCAAACCCTAAACCCTGAACCTTGAATCCTTCACCCGTAACCCTAGAAACCCCTTAACCCTTCACCCTAAACCCCCTCTCCTCTGGCCCTAAATCCTTAAACTCTAAACCCTTACCTTAACCCTAAACCCCAGAAAGGGCTCCAATTTAGAGAACTACCCCCACCTGGCCGGTGCTGAGGATGGCAGCGAAGGCGCGATCGGAGGCCTGGAGCTGTCGCACCTGCGGGCAAGGCTTTCACTAGCCATGCTCGCTCGAGTTGCGTGCTTCCTACACAAGCTCCGACGTGCACGCCGGAGCAGCGCACACGCGCCAGCGAGCACCCAAAACTGTTAGAAGCACCCTCCCCGAGCGAGCATGCAAAAACGACGCGCTTTTGAGTACGGTTCCTTATAGGTCCTCTTGCTTACCAAAAACCCTAAACCCTAAACCCTAAACCCTACCAAAACTCCCACCTGGCACAGCTGCGACTGCACGGCACTGCTGTTGCCACCCATGTCGGGGGATCCCCAGGAGACTATGGAACCGTCGGCACGGATGGCTGCGAATGCACCTGGGGCTTAGGGTTTGGAGGTTTAGGATTTCGAGGTTCAGGCGAGTAGAGGTTTACGGGTTCAGGAATTGGGAGTTTCCGAAAATTGGGGGTACTTTATTTGGGGTCCTTATAATAAGGATCCTACTATTTAGGGTACCATATGAGGGCCCCCTATTTTCGGAAACTCCCAATTGGGCTTCAGGCTGCGAATGCACCTGCTGAGGCTTGGATATCCTGCACGCTTGTCAGCTGCTCCTGCACTGTGCTGCTGTCACCACCATGGCGTGCACTGCCCCAGGTAACGACCGAGCCATCGGACAGAATGGCGGCAAAGGCGCGCAAGGTGGCTTTCAGCTTCTGTACATGTTTCAGCTTGTGTTGCACTGCGCTGCTGTCCCCGCCATCCAGCAAATTTCCCCAGCTCACCACGGTTTCGTCGGCCAGGATAGCAGCAAATGCACTGGCCGAAGCTTGGATTTGCCGAACACTTCTCAGCTGATCCTTCACCGTACTGTGCAACGGATCACCATGCGCGGCGATACCCCACATGATGGCCGATCCGTCACCCCGGATGGCCGTAAATGCCTGATGAGATCCGTGCACATGCTGTATCTCACAGAGCTGCTCTTTCACAGCACTGCTGTCGCCACCGAGCTTTGGGTGGCCCCAGGTGACCACGGATCCGTCTCCCAGCAGCGCAGCGAAGGCGAAGCGCGTTGCGAAGATCTCCCTCACGTCCCGGAGCTGCGTCTGCACGCCGCTGCCTGGGCTCTTATCAGGGATCCTACTTTAAGACACCAGAAGTACGATGTATTGCATGTTTCTGAAGGTATTTTATAGTACGCTATGATATGTTATATTATATTATATTATATTATATTATAGTATATACCATAGTATACTATAGTACAATCCAGGACAGTACAGTATATTATAGCATATTCCTGTCGGGATTTTATGATATACCATAGTATAGTATGATATAGTATAGTATAGTAGATTTTGATACATTACTATACTTAAAGGATCATGGGACTTAGTAACTAGGGTTGTAATTAGGGTAACGATACTTATAACCCCAATTAAGGTACTTACAAACCTTACTTACTAAGTCCCATGATCCTCCAAGTAGACCCTAAACCCTAAACCCTCTAGATCCCTCTAAGGAACCCTATAAGGATCCCTTTTAAGGATTCCTAAACCTTACTTACTAAGTCCCATGATCCTCCAAGTAGGGCTTTAAAGTAAAAGCCAGAAAGTTGGAATATGATTACCCTAAACCCTTTATGGTAAATTATAGGGTATCCTACCCTGAAACCATATTCCAACTTTCTGTAGTTCCCTCTATACCCTAAACCCTAAACCCTATAGATCCCTTTAAGGAACCCCTTAAGGATCTCTTTAAAGGATCCCTAAACCTTACTTTAGGGCTTTAAAGCGGTGCTTAAGTTGCTGTCGCCCCCAGACCGTGGGTCTCCCCAGGTCACCTGGGCTCTCGTTCAGGGATTCTAATGTAAGTTACCATAATAAGGGCTTTTTTTAAAGGATCTAGGGTTTAGGGTTTAAGAGATCTATAAGGATTCTAGTGTAAGTTACCATAATAAGGTTTGGGGTTTAGGGTTTAGGGTTTAAGGGCTCCTTTAAGGGATCTTTCAGGGCTCCTTTAAGGGATTCTACTGTAAGTTACCATAATAAGGTTTAGGGTGTTTTTTTTTTTTGAGCACCTTTTTCCACCTAGCAGTTGAGGTTGGCGGAATCCACATTGTGGAAGGCTACTGCCTGAATCTATGGCCCCCTCAAGGTTTAGGGTTTAGAGTTTAGGGTTTAAGGGCTCCTTTAAGGGATCTATAAGGGCTCCTTTAAGGGATCTATAAGGGCTCCTTGAAGGGATCTATAAGGGTTCCTTCAAGGGGTCTATAAGGGTTTAGGGGTGGAGGGATTTACTTTAAGCCCCAGGTCACCACGGAGCCCTCCGAAAGCAGCGCCGCGAAGGCAGCACCGGAGCCGCGGAGGCGCAAGACGTCCTTGTAGCGTTTTGGTCTTAGGGCTTCGGGTTTAGGGTTCATCGTTTATGGTTTAGGGATTTTTGAAGTGCAAGGACTCGTTCTCCGCAAGAAAACGCAGGTCAAGGGCCCACCATACAAGGTTTAATGTTTAGGTTTGGGGTTTAGGGTTTCTTCTAGGTGGGGCTTTTGAAGCTTTTGAAAAATATTAGTAGATAAGATCCTCGTAAGCCCAATAAGGGAAAATATAAATTGTCCCAAAGCCCTACCTAGTCTTGCTTAGGGTTTAGGGTTTGGGGCTCCTGGCTGGGTCTTCACACGCGCCAACAGGCATGCAGTGGTACGTCTATCAACCTGAAACTGCGGGTGTGTGTGCGTGTGTATCTATACCTAGACCTAAGAGTAACCTAGGAGTAAAAAGGGTGCCCTTTTTGGTTTAAAGGGGGCTATAAGGGAACCTCAACCCCAAAAAAGGGAATAAGGGCCTACTCTGGGTCCTAGATACTGAAGGATCCCTGAAAACCCTATTCCAAGCAGTAAGGCTCCTCTATCACCTGAAAGGTGAATGAATGCCTTGTCGGGCTACGGGTTTGGGGATTCCGGTTTAGGGCTTAGGCTTTGGGGTTTTTTGGACGGGGATTTTGCTCAGGATTCAGTCTGTAGGGTTAAGGGAATTTTGTCTAGGGTTTAGGGCTTAAGGGAGTTTGGTACATGCATATCGGGCTCGTTGGGTTTCCGAGATTCTGGTGAGTGCATATCATATTTGGCTTCCCTTTTGAGGACACTAGAATGAGAACAGCCTTCTGTCCTAAACTCCGAAACACTCAAACCCCCAAATAACCCTAGCCTAAAACTTTAAAACCCTAAGGGAACTATCCAGCCCTCCTTTATGACCACGCCCTAAACCCTATGTAAACTATTAACGACCTTAAAAACCCAAAGGAACTACGGTTGATGATATAAATCCTGCATTACCCATAATAAGGAATATACCATAATTCCCAAAGTTTAGGGCCCTTCAGGCAATGCAGGATTTATATCATCAACCCGTATCCAGCCCTCCTGTTCGATCGCGTCCTGCAGGGGCAGATCTTTGTCCCAATGCCCCGAGGCTGCCGATCCCCAGGTCACTACCTCGGCTGCGAAGCGGGCCCTAAACCTAAACCCCTGAACCCTATAAACCCTAAACCCTAACCCCCTAAACCCTAAACCCCTAAACCCTAAACCCTAAACCGGACTCTCCTACAGATAGTCTTTAGGGTTTAGGCTTTAGGCTTCAGGCTTTAGGCTTTAGGGCTTAGGGTTGCGACCATGATAACATGCGGGACTCGTCTACAGATAGTCTTTCAACATGAGAAGCCCAGAATACGTGAAAAGATCCCAAAAGGTTCTTTGACAACGGTCCGGTTCTCCCTGTGCAGCTACGCGAGACGAGATGTTTCTACAATAAGGAACCCTAACGAAAGGCAGTATTAGACCCTAAACCCTAATCCCCAAAACCCCAAAACCCTAAACCCCAAACCCAAAACCGCAAAACCCCAAAACCCAAAACCCTAAACCACAACCCAAAACCGCAAAACCGCAAAACCCCAAAACCCTAAACCAAAACCGCAAAACCCCAAAACCCAAAACCCCAAAAACCAAAACCCTAGAGTTTACAACTTGAGGACTTAGTCATGCCAGGGCACCGGACTCATTTAGGGCTCTGGCTTAGGACAGGCTAGTAAGTATGGGATGGTACTGTATACGGTATACGGCTTATGGCATATGGTATATGGTATATGGTATGTGGTGCACGGCATACGGTATTCGGTTTTGTGGTATATGTTATATGGTACATGGTACATGGTACATGCTACCTGGCATATGGTACGGTATGGTATCGGTATTGTATGTTTATATATTGGTACAGATTCACGGTCTGGGGCTGGGGGCAGGTCAGCATTGGCACGACAGGTCCTTCTACGAGATGTCTTGCGACAGTGCTTGCGTAGGGTTTCATAGGATTCTGCAGATTTGTCTTTTGGCGGGCTTGACAGTGGTTGGTGTGTATAAAGTTAAGGGGGGCTGACATGGGGCTGTATACTGTCATGATATAGGCCGAGGCATTGTTGGCGTTCGTCAGGGTCTACGCAAAGATGGTTTGGGAGTGAAGGTTCAAAGATGTAGGCCTGGGTGTGTCCCACTGCAGCATTTCAAAAACAAAGCTGAAACCTAACTGTACACCCTTCAATCCCGAACCCTAAACCCTGAACCTGCCCCCTCACACACCTACGATGCCACCCTATAGAACTCTTCGTAAACCCATCTAATTCTCCCCAACCATAAACCTCTAGACCCCTAAACCCTAAACCCCTAAACCCATACATAGAACTCAGAGAGAACCCATAGAACCCGCAGGGAACCCACTGCACTCCAACCCTAAAACCTAATCCAAGGGTAAAAGGAGGGACCCTTAAGAAGGAAACCCCTTAATATAGCTATTATATACCCATTATATAGCCCGTTATAGGGTAGGGATCCCCATTAAGGGTCCCGCCCTTTCCCCTTTGACCTAAACCTAAACCCGAACTCTACAGGGTTTATCATAAGAACCTACAAAAAATAGGGTTTGGTACTGTAGGTTAAGGTAAACCCGAACTGTAATCCGATTAAGCTTCCGTCCCCTCCTTCCGGAGCAGGGCAAAGGATACGCGGGTGGAGACCAGCTGCGCCTTGTGGATTATTGTGTACTTAAAGGATCATGGGACTTAGTAACTAGGGTTATAATTAGGGTAACTATACTTATAACCCCAATTAAGGTACTTATAACCTTACTTGCTAAGTCCCGTGAATTTTTGGTCTATCAGGCTGCTCTACCCCTGAACCCTGAACCCTAAACCCTAAACTCTAAACCCTAAACTCTAAACTCTAAACCCTAAACCCTAAACCCTAAACCCTAAACTTTAAACCCTAAACCCTAAACCCTAAACCCTAAACTTTAAACCCTAAACCCTAATACTAAACCCGAAACCTCAGGGTTTAGACTTCGAGTTCAGGGTGTCAGAGTGCCTCTCCTTTCGTGGTGCCGGTTTGGGGTTTCCGATCTTGCTAGGGGTTCAGGGTTCAGGGTTTAGGGTTCCTTTAAAGGGATCTATATAAGGGTTCCGTGAAAGGGATCCATAAGGGTACTATAAGGGATCTATAGGGGTTTAGGGTTTGGGGTTTGGGGGGTCTTAAGTTTAGGTTTAGTGTTGCTGGATTCGCTCAAGGGACCTCGTAGACCAAACGCCCTGTCCTTTGCAGTTTAAGCTTACTTAAAGGATCATGGGACTTAGTAGCTAGGGTTATAATTAGGGTAACTATACTTATAACCCCAATTAAGGTACTTATAACCTTACTTACTAAGTCCCGTGATCCTCCAAGTAAGGGTCTAGGGTTTTGACTGTTGGGATTACTTATTCTTCCAGAGCTTCGTTACCTGGTCCCCTGATCGCACACCGCAATCCAAAGACTTACTTACCCAATCAGCCACAGAGATCAAAGGTTAAACTTTCCGATTCCTACCAAACTACAAAAGCCCAAAAAGTTTAAAGGTTTGGTACCCTAAACCCTAAACCCTAAACCGTTTGGGGATCTTAGAAGACAAGCTCGAAAGCCGCCTTCCGGACCACAGCGCTCAGCGTCGCGCCGTCCTTCGGCAAATGGGGCTTTTAGTTTAAAGTTTGAACTTCGAATTTCATTACGGGGTTGAGCTTCAAAGCAAAAAAAATATGAGTAGGTTCCCTTTATAAGGAAATTAGGGAAATTAAAAATTATCCCAAAGCACAACCCAGATTAGGTTGTAACGAAGTTGAAGGTTGAGCATTTCAGATCTGGATTGGAGTCGAGTTAGGATTTCAGTGTGAGGTTCGAACTTGATTATCAACAAGCATTCAGGGATTGGCATGTCGTGTTTACTGTACGCGGAAACTGTTGAACCCGAAACCCTGAACCTCCCACCCTCAATCTGTGGCTGAACCCGCCACCCACACCCTAAACCCTCCGCACTAAACTCGAATCCGGCTTCCTAACACGCGCTGCTCCGTTGAGCTATATCAGGCACCCCAACCATTCTAGTTCATTGTTGGGATCGGATTAAAAATGTTATTGGGTTCAAGTACCCAGAAAGGTGTAAAATGTTACCCCAACTATGGCAAAGCATTGATACCAGGCGATTGTTTCGTGGTGTTGACGGTTTTGGGTGGGGAAGGGTCTCGGGTTTATAGCACCCAACATTGGGTGTATCGTGTAGGCTCAGTGGCCACCCAGAACTTTACGGTTTTAAAGGTTTCGTTAAGGATTCAGGGTTCAAGGTTTAGTGCTACCCGACGCCTCCCAGCCATGACCCTCGAAAATCCAACCCCTGAACAGCCCAAAACCAAGAACGAAACCTGAACCCTAAATCCCTAAGCCCTACGCCCTAACTTCCCCAAACCCTAACCCTGAACCCTGACACCCTTAGCCCTGAAGCCCATAAAACTCCAAGCCCTGTGTAGAACCCCGTCCGGGTGCCCTTGAACTGAAGGAAACCCTCTGTAAGGGATCAGGGTGTACGGTTTACCTTAAGCCGGAATAACCTACACTTTTAAGGTTCCTTATTATGATTTCCTGATATAAGTCCTTAAAAAGGTAGGTTCTTCCGGCTTAAGGTAGGGGCTGAGCGACTCAATTGGGCCTGCAGCCCAACTTCCTGCACGGTCGCCTTCTCTGACAGTGCTACGCCAGAGAAGTCGAACCTTTGGCTCAAGATCATGTGAGGCCCTCAATATTCAAGATTCCTAAGGTTCCGTGATATACTACAAAAGTTTCTGGTCAAACATGGTGTTGCCTGAAATTGGGTTTGGCTTTTGGTTGGCTCAGGGGGGGGCTTGCGGGAGGGGGTGGGGTTTGGATCAGAACTGCAAGGTCCAGTATCCGTAAGCCCTGTCAACCTGCCGGCGTATTTGGAAATCCTTTTCTGCGAAGCCCGTAGTGTTTAGGGTTTAGGGTTTAGGGTGTAGGCTTAAGCTCCAAAAGGTCGCGAAATGGACTAAGCATGATTGGAGCTGCCATCCTTCATGCTGTACCGTACTCTCTGGCATGAGGATGCTGCTGGGCACCCCGAGGTTCAAATGCCCTGCTGCAGAGCCAGGTGGGGCTTTTAGAGCCTTTGAAAAATATTAGTAAATAAGATCCTCTTAAGCCCAATAAGGGAAAATATAAAATGTCCCAAAGCCCTACCTAGAAAGCCCCACTCACCGTCTTGCATGGCCAAGTGCCCTGAAGCCTGCTCGCTTGGTGTGGCGGAACGCTAGACCTAAACCCTAAACCCTGAACTTAAGCCCGGAAACCCTAAACCAAACCTTAAATCCGAAAAGCCTACGCCCTGAAACCCCACCGAATTGCAGGGAGATGGTTTGGGGGCAATTATACCATAGTTATGAAGATAATACTGGTAATTTTTTAGGCCCCTATATTACTTCGTTGCTTAATAAAGAAAGGCTTTGGTCCATGAAACCTAGCTCCAAATCAAGATACCCTGAACGCACGAAACGAGATATCAGTTTGGGAGTACCCCAACCCTTCGACCCAAGACCTACGTTCTAAAACCCGAAGACCCTACAGGAAGAGTTCCTTTAATGAGGCCCCAAAAAACCACATAAGCAAAAATAATATGGATAGGGATATCCCATATAGACCCCCTTACAATGAAGCCCAATAAGGTAGGGATATCCCCATCAAATGCTTATGCTTATTATGTGCTTTTGGGGTCCTTACAATAAAATCATGTGAAAGCAATCCAGGCACAGCTTCTGCACCCCAACGCCCAGCTTCTCCTGAGCTAAACGCCTCGGCGGCAGGATCAGATCGTAGGATTTTTGGTGGGTTTACGGCTTTCAAGAATCTAGCAGGATGTGCACTGAAACTTTCATCTGAACATCTAGAGACGAACAACCTGAAGCCAAAAAAGGTGAAATTGATGTTTAAGGTTAGGGGTCAAGGGTTGAGGAGCGTTTCGGGCCTCGGGTAGAGTTTAGATGCCCCTCGATCATCCCTTGCAAAGGGCGAGCCACTTCAAATCTGCCACGCTGATCTCAGGCAGAACTCGCAGCGCGGCGCTCTGACCACTAAGCAGCACCACATGGAGGCACAGTGCCATCGGGAGGTGTTCAACCCCAACTCCCTAAAACCCGTAAACTTACCTTGAACCCACCAAATGTAAAACCCTAAACCATCAACCCTGTTCGGCTTTGAGCTCCAGGGCTTCTTGGATTTGAGGGTTCAGGGTCCAGGGTCTAAGGTTTAGGGTGTAAGGTTTAGGGCTCTAGCTTCAGATTTTCAACAAGGACTCTTGGCTCTCTCAAAACCCACCAGTGCTTCAGGATCTAGAGCAACAAGTCAAGGCTTGGGGTTTGGGATTTAGGGGTTTAGGGTTTACGTTTTTTTTTACTTTAGGGTTTAGGTTGGCCTGAGGGGTGGATGTACGGTTGAGATTCGGGCGTAGGATTTTGAGCCGCGCTGGCTCTAGGAGCATGTCGTAATGCAACAAATCAGCTGGCGGTTGCGACTGCATGTGGTTTGGCGTTTGTGGCACTCCTCCTCCTCCTCCTCCTCCTCCTCTTCTTCCTCCTCCAATTACGCACACGACGACTACTACGACTTGGATGGTCTAGGGCATCAGCAACGAGGCTGTCAGTAGCGTCAGGGTTTGAGTTTAGGGCTTCGGGTCTCTGGTGTTAGGGTTTCGGGTTTACGGTCTTTGGTTGTGGGGCCCATTCACAGTTCAGGACACTTCCATACCCGGCTTCTACCTGCGCGCGAAAGCCCCCACACATATTACCTGTGCTTATGCATATCGGCAACCAATCCTTATCTATCCATCTGTCCGTCTCTCTATCTCTGTGTCTATCTATCCGTCCATCGATCTGTAGATCTATCTACCTACCTACCTAGCTGAACGTCCGCGAGCCCTAAACTGGCCGAATTGCCCAAATTCCTAAACACGATGCGAGGTGCCGATGCCCTAAATCCTAGACCCGCCACCCCAAAAACCTAGCACCCTAATGTAGGAACCTGATTAAGCAAACTTGGGCCTTTATTAGGCTTCGATATATGAATCCTACTATTTTGGGGTTATAGGCCCAGGGTTTCTTAATCAGGTTCCTACATGAAGTCTAATCTGAGACCCAAGTCCGACAACAACAACTACTCAAACACTAAACCTGAGAAAGACACTTGGGTGGCTGTCAAAATTAGGGTCCCTTTTGGGGTCCTTAATAGAATACGACACCTAATATTTAGGGTGCCCAAAAGGGACCACAGTTTTGACAACCACCCACTTCAAAGAAGACCCTAAAGCCTAAACCCTGTTAGAGGGTTGTCCGTTGTCCTGCGCCAGCTCGGCCTGACAAAGCGAAGAGGAGTCCGGGAAGGATGTCTCGGGTTGTAGAGCTTACTTGGAGGATCATGGGACTTAGTAAGTAAGGTTATAAGTACCTTAATTTCTAAGCCGCCACCGCCCAAGTTCCAAAGCAAACGTGTTTTCAATGCTTTTTCGTAGGGTTTCTTAAAAGCAAGACAAAAGCAGCTGACGGACCCCACAGGTCTGACATGAAGGCATGGGCAGACGATCTGAATTTTCCTGCGAGGCAGAGTCTCATGCGAACACTTCTGATGCTGTCCAGGAATCCGAAAACATACATAGTCAGGAGCTTGACCGTCGGCTCAAAAAGTGAACTTAGAAGTGCTACAATCCAAACCTACGTGTTCACTGAATGCTTTGGCTTACTGTCTCTTTCGGAATGCTCTGGTTCTACCGACTGGGCCTGGCTCTCTTTGCCTCCGGCTCAGCGGAAGGCTCATTGCCAGCACGTTTCTGGTCTGAGTTCGCCTTTGGCAAATCCAGCGGCGGGTACTTGGCTCGTATCTCCTCCTGCTGAGCTGCTGTCAAATGGTTAAAGAATTCATACGACCATGTGATCGCACATCGGCAAGCTTCCTCGAATGTTCGTTGAGTGCTCTTCGCAAATGGTCTCTGACCCGGCGGCACGAAACTGAAAGCTCTGGATTTCTTCTTCTGGTAAAACAAAGGAGGTATGATTTTGACTTGCAAGAACGGCGATTGAGCCTCACCGTCAGGTTGACCTACGTAGCCTCTGCAGCCGGGCGCCAGCTGATCCGCGGGAACAACAAAGTTGTGAGGACCTCGCGACTGGGGACCATCGGAAGATGAGGCCCTCTCCTTCACAAGATGGTTGGATTTGGAATGTAAGGTTTAAGTGGTCATTAGGGTTATCAAGTTACAGGTTTGAGGCTGAGGAATTAGGGTACAAATCAGCCAATAAGAAACCAGCTGAGCCACAGCTCGGAGCTCCGGCACCGCATGACCTTCACCAGGCTCACCGCGATCAAGACCCTGTCCAGCAGGCTCAGCTTGGTCGTCCTTGCCAGCTTCCTCCACATTTTGCGCGTTTTCGTCGTCCTCATCCTCTTCGATGTTGTAGTTCATGGCCTCGACGAAATTTTGATGTTCGTCGTCCTCAGAGTCGCTGTCGGACTCTGGCACCGCAGAATCCTTCAGGGAGTGGAAAATACAGAGCAGGAGTTCTTTACTTTTTGTTCTGTCTACAGGGCTAAGAAAGTCCTTCTTCTCTCGTGGCTCTCTCACAGGAATGTGCTGCAGCGTTTCGTCGATGACCTCGTCGGGGATCTCGTGGTAGTGCATGATTTTGCTCACTCTGGTTCGTTGGTTGACCTTCTGAAGAGACAAGCCAATGGTCCGACCGTAGGCAATCAGAACTCCAGCCGGGATACTGGTGATGGTGTGCTCCACCATGAAGAGGGCTGCAGTTGTCCAGACCACCACCTGGATCAGAAGGCCATAGTCATCGTGCACAACAGCTTTCACTGCCGAAACTGACCCCCTGTCCATGCGGAAGTCCGTCGTCTCATAAACGTTGAGGTCTCTTACATCAAGAGCAAAGGTTTCCATGTCACCGTCGATGTCGTCGATCTTGAAGACCTTCATGTAGCGGATCGTGTTTGGCCCGGCCTGCAGCACGATGTTCACCTGCCAGTGTTTAAGGCTTATGGCTTACGGGTAAACGGCTTAGGTTTAGGGTTTGTGGCCTGGTATAGGGGTTGATGGGTTGGGAGTGCAGGATTTAGGGCTTCGGGGCCTGGCTGTCGTGTTCATCGCCTTCTCGCCACAAGCAGCCCGGTTTGAGAACATGGCATGGCCAGCTGTCTTGCAAAGCCTTCTCCATATCAAAGGCACCGTCGGCGTGGAACTTGTCGCGGAAGCATCTGAAAAGCCGAAGTCTCTGCGTGAACACATGCGGCTTCGTAATTCCCGGAAGGGTCCGGTCGTTCAAGAGTTTGTAGATGTTCACACCGAGATCTTTGTCCTTTTCTCGGCTGGCCTGCAGGATGTTCGCTCGCAGGGTTTTCACGTTGTCGTGAACGTTCCAGTCTGTGTTCTCGAGCTGGACGCTTTGCAGAGCAGACCGTGTGGTGGATGACCGTACCGCTACAGCTGCGATGTTTGTAGAAGTAGTCATCTCCCCTCTTTTGTGTCTTCTCTGGGCATCTCTCAAATCGTTGAAAGTCAACTCATTGGATAAGGAGGTCAAAATTTGCTTCCTGTCGACATCACCATTCATGCTTCCCAAAATGGTGCAAGCTTTCAGGCGAACATCTTCACTCCGAGGATGTGCTGGGTCAAAGTTGATGGACCTGAGTGGAAGTCTACTCTCTCCACCCTCTGCAGCACGACCTGCAGCAATGCTTGGTGAATGCGGCCAGGAATCTCTGCTTCGACGAGGAGCTCACGGAGGGTTTGAGCACGGGTGAAGCTGAAGAGGTTGTAGATGACGGAGCGGTGCTCGAAGGCATCCACTGCCAGCAGAAAACTCCACTCCAACTTCAAGTCTGCGAGGATCTGTGGCCAGCGACGTCTGTCCAAAGCGAGGATGGCTTTCCAGGGATAAGACAAGTGGTAGTCCTGCACCTCGTGCAGCCTGCCAAGCCAGCGGATCAGACAATCCAAGTGAAAGCAAGCAATCTCGGACGCCGTTTCGTCAGTGCTGGCATGAGAAATGCCAATGTAAGTCATCGCTCGGCAAGAACATGCATCCTTGCACGTCGTCCTGCCAGGAATCGCAGCGGGGGACCAGGAGAGGAGGGAGAAGGGGGAAGGGTGGGGGGGTGGGGGGGTGGGGGGGTGGGGGGGTGGGGGTGGTTTTTTTTTGAATGGGGGGTGGGTTTGGGGTTCCCAACCCAGTCTTTCCCAACCCCCCCCCTTTCGCGCCCAAAATGGGGGGGTTGGGTTTTCAGTTTTTTTAAGATATTTTGGCATCACTCCTCGTCTCTACCTCTCTCTCTCTCTCTCTCTCTCTCTCTCTCTCTCTCTCTCTCTCTCTCTCTCTCTCTCTCTCTCTCTCTCTCTCTCTCTCTCTCTCTCTCTGTTGCTATCTCAATCTCTGTTTCTGTCTCCATCTCTATCTCTCTCTCCTACTTATGCTTTTTCTTGGGGAGTTCCAAGCTCTGCTTGTCGGGGGACAGATCAAGTCTTCTGGAAACAAATCAACCGTGCTCAATGACAAGCTCGGCTTCATTGGGGGGCCATCTTAAATCATCTCAAGGTTTGCCTACTGGCAGCCATGCACACATCTTCACAAGCATAGGCTTATTGGGCTTATTGGGGACCAACTGAAGCTTTGCCTTTGGCGGTTGGTACAAGTGAACTGCTCAAAAGCTCTACTGATTACGGGAACTATCAATGCTTATATGCTTGGCTAGTTGGGGCAGCAAATCAAGTCTCCCCAACTTGCTTTTCACTGGGAAGCAAATGACATGCTTCGCTTATTGGGGGGAACAGAACCCTTCAGTGAAGCTTCGCTTATTGTGGGGGCGGCTACCAAAAAGGGAAAACAGAACAGAATCCTGATGAGATCTGCCACCCGCGTGCCAGAAGCCAGAGCCATGGCTTCCCTGACGGAGGCTTCCGCCTCGTTCTGGATGTTCTTGTTCTCGGCTCGGGTGGAAGCTACGATTATGAGTTATAACAGTCAAGGCTTTGGAGGATCCCGAAATGAATTATGCGTACAAGAGACCACCTGTCCGATCCAACTTCGGGCAGGCTTATAGATTTGGAGCAAAGACCTCATTCGATCCTGGTTCGTGCTGTCCGAAAGGACCTGCCATAGATGTCATGTTTGCTCATGTTTGCATAAGCATGCCCCAGATGCAACGACTGACAGGCCTGCCACGTCAAGGCCTTGAGGCTGAATTTCTTGTCATCCAAGCTGTCGTCATCCGTCGCTTTACAGCCCCAGGGGCTGATGCCCTGCTCGTAGAAGTTGAAAAAGGATTCCATGAGCCGCAGGTGCCAAGATCCTGCGGACGTCGGAGGCTCTGGGTATGGGCAGCTTCAATTTAATCAGCTTTGTGGTTTCGAACGAAAATGGCACCACCCGAGTTTTGGGAGCCTCGCTCGCTAGGGAATTCGGAGCCTCAAGGCTTATTAATTTCACTACGTTTAAGATTCAGGGTTTCCAAACAATACACTTCTGCAGGCTCAGGGCTGAGGCAGTTTAAGACGTGAGGCTGCACAAAACAAGTGGAACTGGCACCAAGCTGTACGGAGGCTCGATCGCAGGAAACTGCATGGTCATACCAAGCGAACCAACGTCCCTCCGTGGCCGCGGACTGGGACCAGTGAAGTTGGCCTGAGCTTGTGCACGACATCGTTCGAAAAGTCGGCAAACCCAGTTTACTGGGACCTAGTTTCCAAGTAACTCTTACTTACATTCTTATGTGAACTTTCGTTTTCGCAACGTTTGGCTAAAGCCAGACAAGATGCCAGCGTGTTGCTTCAAGAGTCGAACCGCCTCGCGATTCGTGAGGGAATGCGTCGAGAGCCCTTCGTCGCGGGCAATGCCACTCATGCAGGATTCGAGGAGAGTGGCCTGAGGGTTCTCCTCCAGTGCTTGGACGAGGCGAGCGCGGGATTCCATTCTCTGTCGCCCGAACTTGGAGGTGTCAAATGGTCCTCTGTTCGATCGAAACATTCGCATCAGGTCTCGCAAAAGGGAAGAGCTCTCGGGATTGGAAGAAATAGCAGCTGCTTGCTTGCGGTGGCACTTGTGAAACAAGTCCGGCCAAAAGCATATGCAAAGCCCCTTCTCACAGAGAAACTGGTAGCAAAGGAACATCTCTGTTCCCTCGTCCCCTGCATAGATGAGGCGATGCAAAGGAAGCCTGGAAGGCACGGGGTAGTCGACACGGCTATCTCCCGTGGCATCATCGTACAGAAAGAACCTTTTCAAGTTTTCTGGCACCCCCAGCAACTTCTTCTCTTCAGGCGCGAGCTCGAACCGGTACATGTTGCCTCTCGGGACGAGGGTCTGCTGAGGAACGCACTTTCCGAAGTTGAAGCCAGGCACCAGGAGACTGAGGCCGTTTTTCAAAGCCAAGAGCAACTGCTTGGAGGTCGTGCGATACGTGACCAGATGCTTAGCCGTGTCGCGAAGCTTCCGGCCCTCGCTGGGCATGCTGCCTTCCAAAGCCAGCTCCAAAGCTTGCAGGGTCGTCGCACCGTCCTTGCAGGGTGCAGAGTCTGGCAGGATCTGCACCAAGGATGCTTGTTGCGATGCCGTCGTTCGCAGCTGGATCGACAGCACCTGCCGGGCTTCGGGGCTGCCTGCGGGAAGAGACTACACAATTCAAGGGACCTGGCCTGCAGTTTGCAGACCCTGGCAGCGTCAAGGCAGAGGTTCAAGACTCTGGAGCCACCCTGCCGCTGCAGATCCTCCGTCATGATCTCCGAACTCTTGGCAAAGTATCTGATCATGAACTCGCCGCAGGCTCGCGAGGCAATTTTGGATTGCTTCGACACCAAGCCTAAAGCCTCCAGACTAAGTTCATCCTTGCTGCTGCAAAAACCCCCAGGTTTGCAGCCGAAGCGAGCGAGCAGTTTGTCGCGGACCGCAGGGTTGCCTTTCAGGCGAGAATCTCGCAGCATCGGATGAAATGTAGAGCACTTGGTTGGATCCGGGCACTGCGTCAGGAGAGCACTCTCTGGCCGACACAGCCGCAGCTCGAGATGTTGACAGAACTGATGCATCACTCGCTTCGTGACCTGCTGGGCCACGTCGGAGTCCCGGATCTGCGGCTTATGCCGTGCAGCGAAAAGCACGAACAAGATCTGTCCCACTGTCAAGGAGATGCATTGGTTGGCGAAATACCTTGGTGCCTACTAGACGAGAAACCTGGAAAGATAGCGATAGAGATGCTTTAAACAGTGACGAGTCGCCGTGGGATGAGGGCCACAACGGAGTCCAAGTGCAGGGCTCGCAGGGCTTCCTTGAAAGCCTCGAGACTCACAGCGTTCCTCTGCACCTCCAGGCACACCTCTGGCACGTCAGGCAGCAGCTTTAAGCGGTCGTTGAAGCAGCTGTTTCTCTCCAGAACTTCCACGATCTTCCAGGCAGTGGCAATGGCATCATTCGTTAGCCCTTTGTTCTGTAGGTAGCTTGCCAAGCATGCCATGATGCCCGGCCCGGTGGCGACGTCAACCGGAACAGCAAATTTGGCCTTTGGTGTTTGCTGCCCTTTGTACTTGTCCTTCCGAACAACCTGGGCTGGACAGCAAAAATGTAAGACTGCTCAGGGGCCAGAAGCCAGAAAGACTTTGAGGCACAAGGAAGGCAAGAGGCATGATCATCGCTGAGTTGCCAGGCTTCTAGAAGAGGCTTTGCCGAGGATTGCCAAGATTTGCTGTACCATGACGAGAAAGGTGTCTTGAAGGACCAAAACTCCGAGCAGCAAAAGAAATGGCCGTAACCGTTCGTGTTCGTCTGCTCGGAGTCCGCCTCGAAGAATCAAAGGCCAAACAGGCTGCTGCTGCATTGACAACCCCCCCCCCCCGTAATTTCTGAATCGCAAGCGAAACAAACCGAAAAGCCTTGGGAAACCTGGGCTTGCTGCTACCTGTTGTCCCTGGCCTTGATGACGGACCACACATTGGCATCTACTTGGAGAAACAGCCACTCGAAGTCAGGCGAAGCATTCGCAGGAGCTCTAGCGGGCTTGGGACCATGGGGAGCATCAGCTTCCTGGACGTCGCCTTCTTCTTGCAAGTCGGGCAGCGGAGGAATGGGCAGAACGACATCTGTGCTTGCTCTGGCCTGAGCCACAGCATTGATCATCTGTTTCAGAGTTGTCGCTCCTTCTTCGAAGCAGGACAACAGAAATTTCCCGATCATCTGATGTGTTTGCACGCAAACTTTGTCGGACTCCACATCGCCCTTAGTTGCCATGACATTGCTGTCTTGTTTCTCTAAGAGCTTCTGCAGCCTCTCGGCCACAGCATTGACGACCTGTGTTGCAGGCTGGCCAAGAATAGCATGCTGAACTACTCTCTCTCACCCTCCACAGTCTGCTGGCCTGCTGCCATGGTCCGGGTTCTTCGACTCCGACCGCTGTGTCCGAGTCCATGTCGAAAGAAAAGACAGCGAGAAAAATCACATTTGCGGTTAAATGCAATGTCTTAGCGCATGTACCCGACAACTGCGACTCTTTGCAGGAAGAGCTTTCAGAACAAGACGTGCATGGAGAAGGGAAGGTTGAAAACTGTCAGGAACATTGCTGGCCACTTGTA